AACTGTTGTTTGCGTCTAACCAGGAGTTACAGGCGCCAAGGATGAGTTACGACCGTGACCGTTACTTGGCAAATCTGCCCGTAACTCCAGAAAGTCTTCTGGAACTTTGCCTCCATCACTCGCTAGACCGTAACTTGCAAGGTCTGGCTGTAACTCCCAAGTTTTGACTTCCCACTTGCTCCTGAATGTCCCGAAACTTCGCTCATTCGCATCCATTCGCGTACTAAGTCCTGAAACATCATAAACAAACACAACTTAGCGTAAAATAGGTCACGAGAGAGATAGATCAATCTCAAACGGTCGAGAAGTGACGGGAAAAACATGTTCAAATATGGCGTTATCACTTACCCATGTCTTTCTTCCTCGATCTTTCAATCTCAATCGATTTCTTCACATGGATCTCTGGATCATCACAAGTGCTACTACCAGTCACAAGCTAGACTACTCTAATTTCTTATTTGGACATCTTCTTCCTGCGGGTGGTGAGCACTTTCAGGGTCTCTTGTCCTTTGGGTCCATCATTACTCGCATGCTCATCAATCTAGGAGTTGATCTGTCGGATTTTGGTAGTGTTTCCTCCACAATGTATGTCAGTGCAATACATGTGCTCATTGTCCTTGACTTACCTACTGAAATTCCTCCTCCTTCTCTCCCCTTCGCTTCTATCCTTGGTCCTCGACCAAAACCTTCCTCTACTAAGAAGGCCAAGTCTGTTGGAGAAGCCAGTAAAACTGATTGCTTGGTTTTTACTGTGTCTAAAGGAAAATCTTTCTCAGAGGAATCTGCTACCTCTGCCCCTGCACACTGAGTTTGCTGATTCACAGGGGGAAATGCTCTGTTTAGTCAGATTTTCCCTTATTAGCTGGTAGGCATTGATGATGTTGTCCTTCTGTTTGGACGAGCACATGTTTAGGGGAATATTCTTAGTTTCTCTTTGTTATTTAATGCTTTATGATTTCGTATAATTGTCCTTCTATATGCTCGGACATGCCTCTCATGTTGTATCTTTATTTTTCATTGTAATGCAAGTAGTTCTTTTCTTTGCGAGTCTTGGCCCTGCTGTAGTGTTTTTTTTTTCTTTTTTCAAGTTTCTTTAGAATTCTCGGACGAAGGGGGAAATCGTTGACAGATAAGGATGACACCATTTCCACTCAAAATAAGGACAACACCATTTCCACTCAAAACGCAGTCTCTCACCATCGCAGCTTGCTACGACAACATTTAGAGAAATCATCCTTCCAAGTTTCCAAGCAAGAACTCAGTTCTCCAGCTCCCTCATGCAGAGCTCTTCTTGCTCATCCTCTCTCAAGCATCGCGACATCTGCCTCAAATCTCTTCCAAAAGCAGTCACCCCTTCTACTGGATCTCATGATGACCACAACTACTGACCTTCTCCATTAGCAAACGGTCATCTCCATTAAATGATAACGGGAAAACTTGGCAGCTTGTAGAGAGACAAAACTTGGCAGCTTGTTCTACTTTGGGTCCATTGTTGTTTGCTTCAGTAACTCAATTCATAATGTCTGTGTACTAGATGAATTGAGCTTGGGAAGTTGATCGTTATTTTCTTGTAAGTTTAAAGAGCCAATTTGTTTGGCTCGGGTTAGGGTTCTTGTTGTTCTTCTGTTGTAATTCATTTATAATCAATAAAATGTCTTTTTTGTTAACTTCACAATCACGAAAAATTTCCCTAGATTGACAGTTTCAATCTTCAAAAATAGAGTCATTCTTCCCATTCTGAGTTAACACTACTCAAGTGTACTCACCACGCCTTGGTGGATTGGTTCCAAGTTTAAAGTTTTACAATGGTTTGACCAAAGAGACTCGACACCTCATCAATGTGGCAAGTAGATGGCCAATCTGAAACAAAGAAGTGGAAATGATGAGCCCTAAATAGGGTCTCCTTCAATGAGAATCACACATCCACGTATTTGTTGAACTCAATTTGAAACTTGAACAAGAACAAGGTACGTTTGTGGTGGTTTTGGATAGACTTTCGTGCAATCTTTCACAAGGAAGAAGGTTAGAAGAGTATAAGGTAGAGGCTAACCACGTTCAATGGGTCTAATTGATCAATACAATCAACTCAAGCAACCTAGAATCCACTACAAACCTCGACAAATTCACTAGACGAAAGCTTATGAACCAAACTCAAAGTTTTTGTATTCAATATAAAAAAACCCAGAATTACAATGCAAGATTCAAAGCCTTAAATAGAACTAAACTAGCTTACAATCTCAAAAGGATGACCCAGACACAAAATAATTCAGAAAAAAACTCAAATAAAAAAACGACTAGAAATCCTAATCCGATATGGAAACGGATTACTTGAAATGCAAGACAATTTTGCAAGACTTCATACGATTTTACACATGTTCGTTCTAGTCTTGGAGGTATGCCCTTGTTCATCCAATTCCTTTAGGTTGTTGACCACAATGTGTAATTTCATGTACCAAAGCCCTCCTATTTCGACTTTTCTTCCTCCAGCACGAATAAGGTCTCAAAGTAGGGTACCTGAACTTGTTCCCATAACTGTTTTCAAATAGTTTCCCGGTTTCTTCATAGCATCTTGAGAGCTTAGGAAAATGACTTGAAGAACTTGTGCAGGAGAAAACCAGCCTTCAAACACGTAGTCCAAATCTTGATCTTTAATACCAATCCTTCCCTTAGCATTTTCATTGAGCCATTTGTGAGCTATTGATTCCCGAAGTAGGCTTCATGAAACAGCTTTGGGACTTAGCCAATTTCTTCCTTCCTTTCGGCCACTTTGGACTGATTCTTTGCCAAGCCATAAAACCTTCTTTAGTTAATCAATTTGGATCATATCATGTCAAATAAAGTAAATCAGAAGAAAGGAACACGTGATTTACCTGGTTTTCCCGAAGATCGGGACCAATCCACGGAGAGCAGAGCTCTCAGTTAGGGGTTTCACTATGAACGAGCAGCCAAGGAAGAAGCTGCCACAAATAGGGTTGTGTTGGCTACACTACATATATATACCCTTCCACTCGGTGAGCTTCCGACGACCCTCCTTCGGTAAAACTTTTGGCAAATTTTCACCTTCCTCGCCCTCACCTCACCTCCTCCTACATCCTACTTGAGTCTCCAGGCTGGTTTGCGGCTCTATCTTATTAATTTTTGGGATAATCGGATTAGGTAGTTAAGTGAGGAGAATTTTAGTGAATTGAATGTGAACTTAGAATTAGGGAGAGGAATTAGGTGAATTAGGAATTGAATGGTTGAATGATGTTGCTTTTTTTGGATTTTTTTCGATCAACAAATCGAAAAGTAAACGATAGGGCGGAATTGCCGCGCAATCTCAACAGGAAATCGGGAGAAGACGCGAACAATATAAGGTAGAAGCTCGACCACAATTAAGGTGGCTACTTGATTGATAACAAAGGCAACACTATATGCTATGGAATCTACCAATAACAAAAAGCAAAAAGATGAACCATGTTCAACTCAAAATAAATAATCAAAATCTCAATAATCTCCTCAGATTCGTGTCTTACAACCCTTTAAATATACCTGGAAAATAAAACTAATGAAAACACCAAAAAGGGAAAAGAATCCTAAACAAAAAAGGAAGTTTAACTCGTCGGGCCCTGAAACCAGGTCATAATCCCCGATCAGGGATTTAAATGCACCAGCTGAGGGTGCTTCTGGACTAATTCCCTGGTCCTCACTTCGAGTCCCGGTTGGGGATATGCTCCTTGCCTGGTCGGGTATTCCCTTATGCTAGAATCACATCACTAGGCTCATCTGCTAGATCCTACTACTACGGGAGTTCGACATAGAGGTTAAGGACAAGAAAGGAGCTGCGAATGTTTTTGTAGATCACCTCTCATGGTTGGAAGCCTCCCAGTGGACAACTTTGAAAAGGAGAATAACGACTTGTTTCCCGATGACTGTTTGCTGCAGCTGTGCCTAGTGGAGAGTGTCACCACGTGGTACTCCGACTTCGCAAACTATTTGGTAGGCAAATAGTTGCCAAAGGGGATGCAGACCCATGCAAAGGGGAAGTTCTTCTCCAACCTGAAGTACTAACTCAAGGAGGATCCATACCTCTTCAGGATTGGAGTAGGCGGGTGATACGAAGGTGTATGATGGAGCACGAGATGGAGATCATTTTGTCTCAATGCCACCTCTTCAATAACTCCAAGTTGGAAGAAACTGAAATCGCCCAAAGAGCGGCTTGCTCGGTTGACGATTACATTGAAGCCCAACTGCAATCAAATCCGGAAGTGCAAGTCTGCAATGCATCAATTCCTCATTGGACAAAGCCTCCGACTGGGTCTTTCAAGCTTAATACGGATGCTGGAGTGATAGGTGAGGATGGCTACTGTATGGGTGGAGTGGTAAGAGATGAATTTGGCAATTTTATCTTCGGTTTCTCAAGGAAGGAGAAGGGACGATGCTCTATTGAAGAAGAGGAGACGAGAGCTATGGAACTGGGATTAAGCGAAGTGGAGAGAAGGGGATTTTGGCCACTTATAGTTGAAACGGATTGCAAAACCTCATCAACAGTCTGAAGCAAGAAGAAGGAGAAATTATAGAAAAGGGAGATTACGTGATAATTTGAGAAGGATGGGAGCTATTCATGTGAATGGAGGGGAAAGGGTGTTGGAGTGGGCTTTTGCTCCCAGAACCGCAAATCGTGTAGCCCATTTGCTTCCCCACCTGGCCATTCCCTTGAATCAAAATGTCATTTGAGATGTAAGGCCACCTGTGGGCATTTGGGATATGCTGTGTAACGATGTTTTGGGCTAGTTGGCCCTTGTTTTTTAATGAAACCAGACTGCTTATAAAAAAAATTAGTATTTTAAATAAGAAAAAGAGTTATAAAAGTATTAACGATAACATAAAAATAACTAATATTTTAATATATTACAAAAAATTTGGCTAATTAATAACATTTTAATAAGTTTGGAGAATATAAATTTTTTGAATGAAAAATAGACGTTACCCTATATATTCGTTGATATGTCTATTCTTTCCTATTGAGTTCTAGGTTAAATCAAGAAACCCTAATTTGTGATTTGAAAGCTTCCCTCACCGCCGCTATTAGTCCTATATCTGGCCGGTTTCCTCAACAAATTGGGAAAAAGCCGACATAGATATTTTCTGTAGCAAAGCTCATCGGCTGCTTGCTCTGCCCATCTCCAGTTCCGAAGACCGGTAGCAGCGACCCTCTTCCAAATTCCCCCTTGCAAGTCTCCGGTCTATCCGTATCTTTCAGTGGTCCAATCCCGATGTCGGTCAGTCTTCGCAAGGGAAATACCAGGCTTCCGCCGGAAGTGAACCGCGTGCTCTACGTCCGCAACCTTCCGTTCAACATCTCCAGCGAGGAGATGTACGATATCTTCGGAAAGTTCGGCGCCATTCGCCAGATCCGGATTGGAACAAACAAGGACACGAGAGGCACCGCTTTCGTGGTCTACGAGGATATCTACGACGCCAAGACGGCCGTGGATCACCTCTCTGGTTTCAACGTCGCCAACAGGTACCTCATCGTTCTGTATTACCAGCAGGCCAAGATGAGCAAGAAGTTTGATCAGAAGAAGAAGGAAGAGGAGATTGTCAAGATGCAGGAGAAATACGGAGTCTCCACCAAAGATAAGTAGACTGAATTATCACATCAATGCGTTAATGAAATTCGCTCTTGTGCCAACTATTCTGGATTTTTACTTTGAATGCACTACTTCTGAATTTAGGGTTAGCTCTGATGTTCAGCTTGTGTGTAATTAACAATGGCGTGGCGTTTGAAATGATGAATTTTGGGATTTGTTAACTGAGGCAGTGGTCCCCTATTTGCTCAGTTTGTCTCTGTAGTAATGATGCTTAGTTTATAAGATAGTTCAAGGAGGGATGCGGAACTGGCGACTGGGTTGAATGATTCTGCTTGCCTGTTTCTTCAGAGGATTTCTGGTGTACATTGCAAGCAAGCCAGTTCAACTGATTTGTGCACCAGTTTTGGGGTTGGTTAATATCATCTCTAGTTTATTATTAGTTCCTGGATTGCAGAGTTGTTGCTTCTCTTACTGAAATTGTTGCAGCGACTAATGGGATGCTCTGACTGATTGCTTTGTTAACTGATCTTGGTTAGATAGTCTGATTTTATTTTAGAATTGATCTTGAGTTATGGTGCCAGCCAGGGATTCTTTGCTTTCGCACTGTATGTTTCACTCTGTCTAGGTGTCAATCAATGTTGTATGGCAATTTGCATCCAAATGAAGTTCTTCATTCCTTGGGAGAGTGTGTATGTTTCACTCTGTCTAGGTATCAATCGATGTTGTGTGGCATTTTGCATCCAAATGAAGTTCTTCATTCCTCTTACTGTCCCTTACAATGTTCAAAAAGACGCCAGGCGAGAGATTAATCGCGTCTTCTTGAATACTGGTCCCTTAGGACAACAATGTTCTTAACTTCTTATGGATGCAACATTAATCTCCTTTAGTGTGGTAATTGCCAAATGAATAGCCCTACCTTCGTTATTTCCAAGCCGCTAATTATGGTGACACTTGAACATAAACCGGAGTTTGCTTTGGTTCTTGAGTGTCTTCTGACTACAGAATTACCAAGCTGTGTTAGTTCTCATCTCTTAGACCAACTCTAGTGCAAGCCACACCAAATTTGGGGATCTTCATCTCCAAATTTGGGGTTCATTCCTATTTTCCTTTCTTTTGTTTCAATGCTACATCCTCTATATTTGGAGATCTCCATTTTTTAAGTTTTTCATTTACTTAAAAATGCACTTATCGAAGTCTTAATATAATTTGTTCATGTTAATTTTTGTATAGTTTGTCATCATTTTTAAATACAAATTTTTTGGTAGAATTTATTTTAATTTTGACACCAAATTTTTGTTGACAAAAAATGATTGACATAATTTGGGTTTACACACATGACACAACACTTGAAAATTATTGATCTAATTAAACCCCTAACTAATCCCCTAATTAAACCCCAATTAACCCTTAAAATGTTAAGAAGAAAAAGAAACGCCACGTGGCGGGCTTTGAGGAGTCTATATTTTGGGGAACCCCCATTTCCACCCCCAAATTTGGGGATCCTTTTGGAGATCTCCCCAAATATAGAGACTCCTCCATTTATAGAGGCTTCATTGGAGCCAACTTTCCCCCAAATATAGAGGCTCCCCCATTTAGGCTAACTCCAATGGAGTCTCTATATTTGGGGGAAAGTTGGCTCCAATAGAGCCTCTATAAATGGAGGAGTCTCTATATTTGGGGGAGATCTCCAAAAGGATCCCCAAATTTGGGGGTGCAAATGGGGGTACCCCCAAATATAGAGGCTCCCCAAAGCCTGCCACGTGGCGTTTCTTTTTCTTTTTAAGATTTTAAGAGCTAATTGGGGTTTAATTAGGGGATTAGTTAGGGGTTTAATTAGATTAATTAATAATTTTAAAATGTTGTGTGTAAACCCAGATTAGGTCAATCATTTTTTGTCAACAAAAATTTGGTCTCAAAATTAAAAAAACTTCTACCGGAAAATTTGTATTGAAAAATGATGACGAACTATACAAAAATTAACATGACCAAATTATATTAAGACTTCGATAAGTACATTTTTAAGTAAATGGAAAACTTAAAAAATGGAGATCTCCAAATATAGAGGATGTAGCATAGGAGCAAAAGAAGGAAAAATGGGGATGAACCCCAAATTTGGAGACGAAGATCCCCAAATTTGGGGGCTTGCATTGGAGTTGGTTAGAGACTCCATTGGAGTTAGCCTTAACTCTCTCTTAAGCTTTAAAATTAGCTAATTATTATTGTCTGTCAATGTTATGCTATGCAAGCCGTAACAATTGGAATGGGTGTGATATTCTGTTCATCAAATGTGTTCTCATTATCATTTGCAAGTGGAGAAAGGTGACGAGACCTTACAGTAGAAACGAGAGAAAAAAAGTAGGTGCATCTGCAATATTTGAACTTAAAGCTATCATTTAGTATCCATGACAATTTCTGTTTTATGTTTTCACAAGTGGCAATAGAGATTGAAACTATGTTCATTTTTGTTTTCATTTGTTATTGTGGCAGTTGGAGTTGGTAAAACTACATAAATTAACAGAAGCCAGCTCAACCACTTTATTTATGAAGTTGTTGAACCAAATCAATCCAGCTCAACCTCTTTAAGTGGCTATTGTGGTTTATCAAGTTGTTGAACCAAATCCTGCTAGACCCACTGTCTACGTATAAATTTATCATAGAGGTAGGTATGAGTCCACCCTACCCAAAACCGGACCAAACCTTTTCTTCACAGTAGAGGGTGAACATTCGGTTCGGTAAACTTGAACTGATTACATAGTGAAACGACATTGAAATAATATTATTCGGTTTGAAATTTGAAAGGAAAGTCCGACTATTTCAAAAATCAGGCAACGGTTGACTGAACTTGAATTCTAAATACCAAACCGAATAATCAAAAATATACATAGCCCATATATCATAGCTCACTCCAAAGCCCAACTTGTCGATGACGTCGGCCCAAACCTCTCGACAGAGATATTGAGGTACATACTTTCAAGAATGTTCACAACAGGAAAGAAGATGTGGCATTGTTTGTAGCCGTTAGCATTTATTCTATTACTCGTATAGTTGTGATGGGCTCGTAACTAGATATGTACTTTTGATTCAGAAAATCCAGATGTAAAGGTGGAGAATTAAATACATTTTTATTTTTTCTTATTTTGTTAATCGATTCGTATCTTCTTTATTTTAACTCCGATTTCAATTTTTTGTTGCACAGATAGAACGAGTTCGTTGTGCTCTACAAAATGAGATCCATTTACAATATTTATTGCGAAAAAAATTATTGCCTCTCGTTACCAACTACATATCATATGATATCTTCTTTGTATTTAAGTCGTTTTTTAAAATTTTTGCACATAAGGAACAAGTTTATCATGATCTATTGGATCTAAAAATTTCTAGGGAACAAAATAGAGGACAAAAAAAATACCACACAATACCACCCTGGTACGAGGTGGTATCTTGTGGTACACAATGTTTAAAGTCATAAATAATAGGTAGTATACTTCTATTATCATGTATTCAACCATCCTAAAATGTTGGTATGTTCATACCTGATATCACCCTAGGTGAGGTGATTGATCAAAATCATCACAGCTTAGGCTCCAATTCGAATGAATTGAGGCCCTTTCTTGCTCTTGAAGAAACAGAAGACCAAACACAGCTTAGCTAGCTAGTTTGGAGCTCAAGAAAAGCTGGAATATGAGGGTTTCTTCACACCTGGGAAGAGGCACTTGAGGTATGGGGTTGTCTTCGAGTAACTGAGGGTGGATGACTCAGTTAATAGACTCAAATCAACTAGGTTGGATCGCAACCAAAACCTAAGGTCAACAATCAACTCGCAAGTTGTCAATTTTTGGGGGTTTCTATTCAAATCTGATCTGCTTGTTACAATGTACAATCCAAGCCTTTTATAGGCATAAAATAACTCTAATAAACATAAACAAACTGAAAAGGAAGACTAAATCAACAAGGAACTGAAATACAAGTGTAATTTTTATAGGACTAGGAATCCTAATGGCATTCAGATTACTTGGCAGTGTCGATACCATCTTCTCACACCTAGCAGATGGCCTTCCAGTTTGATTCGATCTCATCCAATACCTTGTCGTTGTAGAAGGAAACTCCCTCTTTCTCCTCCAACTTGAATCAACTCGAGATCACCTCCCAAGCTCAAGTTATGCCTCTTCAAAGTTAGCATCCTGAAACAGTTTCCTGCCTTAGCCAAATTTAGACAGTTTTCAGGATTCTTCATAGCATCTTGTTGGCCTTGAAAAACACTCTTCCTGGCACCTCGAACTCCACCACATACCAATCGAAAGATAAATTTTTGAACTTCAAATTGAGACCTTCAACCAACATTTTCATCGATTGGTTTGAGAGATATGAGCTCCCAAAGTAAGCACCTTGAACTCGACCCAACACTTAGCGATTTTCCTTTCTTCTTCTTCTTCTTCTTCTTCTTCTTCTTCTTCTTCTTCTTCTTCTTCTTCCAAGCTTCACTTCATTCTTCCGCAAGCAATTTCATCTTCAAAATTGATCCAATGGGATCATATCAATACCACCATGATACTTTTTTCATACCATATGATATGCTCTTATTTCAATACTAGTCAATACCATATGTTATACACTGGTAAAAAATGACTCAATTTTCTTTTGTTCCAAAAATATATCAAATCAACATAAAGCAAGTGAGAAATCGTTCGTTAAAGATTGGGGGGGGGGGGGGTTGACAAATTAAAGGCTTTCCGGGAGAGAGAAGGGGCCTTGATGTGGAGGATGGGTGATTGGGTTATGATTACTTACCACAAGGTTACTGACTGGATCCGTACGAAGTTGTAATGTTGTATAGTATATCCAAATTAGTTCCAACATTAAGGTCAAGGTTGGTTTCAAGAGGGATGGATTGTTGACGGAACGCGTAACCGATCAGAACTAGTTTAGTATTTTATTAGTTTAGTCTATTAGGGTTTCAGGTCAGAGTCTATATAATGTACTTTATTCCTATTATTATAGATATCAAAGTATCGTCAGAATTATCCATATTCTCTCTGATATCTTTTAATTATAAAACATCATAATTGTCATGCTGGTGATATGCCGCCCGATCGAACCTGGTTCAACCTGTGTCGGTCAAATCTGGTTCAACCTGTGCCGATCATAAAACCGGCATAAACACTACCGGTATGTCCGACATGATCGATTTACGAACTATAACTAAAATGACGTCGTTTTTGATAAAAAAAATGAATTTATTATATATTTTATGAATATAAAAGCTAAAAGTTGATGTAATTTGTTAGATATAAAAGTTTAGATATTAACATTAAATGTTGTATTTAAATATGAGTATTTGTTATTTTATAAATATAAAAGTTAAAAGTTGATGTAATTTGTTAGTTTCAGGCATAAAAATTTAGATATTCATGTTAAATATTGTATTTAAATATGAGTATTTGTTATTTAATTTGAAACGTCGAATTTTATTAAATCGACATGAATCGACACAAACAAGTTGTACCACTAGTTATACCATTACATTTGCTAAACCTACGCAACAGTATAAACTGGTTTGACAACCTTGATGTGAATCGGTTTAACTAAACAAATGCATGTGGGATTGGATTTATTAATATATGCCATGAAATCCATTCGCCAATTAAGTTGCCATGATGGTGTTGTGATATAATTTATGTCTATTCGTGTCTTTATGTTTGTTCGACAGTTGGCATAATTACTCATGCTTAGGAAGTTTTTAAGTAATATGATTTGAACAAATTGAGTTTGAATTTTAGTAAAATACGGTACGGGAAAGTTACGTAAAAAATACGTACGGGTATTTTACGTCGTCTCTAAGCTAAAAGTACGTTTAATAGTACGTTAATAGTAATAAATATATAAAAATAAATTATTTTAAAAATAAATAAATATATAAATAATAGTAAAGTTCATAATTTAATTCATTAAATACGTATATTAAACGTGTTATACGGGTTTTATACGTGTTTAGTACAGGAGCAATCCAATGAACCGAAAAAAATGAAACGACTTGACAATAATACGGATACGGAAGTTTTAAACGGATAAAGTACGTATGGGTACATATACGTGTATTAAACGGAGTATTTACTAACTATGGTTTGAATTGTGTCTGAAATTTGAAAAGAGTTCGAGAGTATTCAACTTGGTTGAATATGGAAGAATTCATGTTGGAATTTTTTGAACAAATTTTGTTAGTTTCAATTCCAAGTACTTGGAGAATACAGAACTTTGATTCATGTAATAAAGTTGTTGTTTTTTTACAAGAAATTTTCATTAAAACTGAGAAGTGTATAAAGTGGGTATTAACTCAAAGGTAAGACTACCAACACAAATACTAGCAAAGTGAAAAGGCCACATATCAGGCCCACAACAAATGATCACTGGCCAAAAAGAAATCAGCCCAAACCACCAAATCCCGTACAGGACCCTTCACAACCCTAGCAAATTGCATCTCCATGTGTAAGCCGCCGCCGCTGGATTCATCAACTCAAACCGACCATCAACCAACAAAACTCCAAATAGGGAGAACATGCACTCCATAGGATCGATTGGAAGCCGGAATGATTGAACAAAATCCAACCTCGATGAAGATTGGAGCAGGACAAGCAAAGAAGACCATAACTCGTCACCAACCCATTCCTTACAGGACCAAAACATCTTCAGAAGCCCCCAAAAGAGAACCAAGCAAGACGATGGGCGTCCGGCAAAGAGTCACAGATATCAAGTCTTTGTCTTTTGATCTCCCAACCGCGTCCCAGCTGATTCACAAAGGAAGGCTGCAAGCATCTCCGAAACACCGAGATCAGCTGGGTAAAGCAAGGAGGTAGATGAGAGGCTAGAAGAGTAGAAGACAAGCCGATCTTAAACACCAAAATCAGCTACCCTTTGCCACCACGAATAAAAGGACTCCAGATCTAAAAATCAAATCAGAGGAAGGAACATGACACGCTAAAACACAACACCAAACTACGACACAGTATAATCGGAGAATGGAAATGCAGAATAGTGGGTAAGTTTAATTTATCAAACCAGGGTCTAGATCTACTTCTTACCCCCCGTGAACTTCTATTATCTAGCATAATTAATTGAGTGAAGGTGAATTCAAACTAAAACAGAAAGAAAACAGTAAATTGTCCGGTTTTCTGAAGCAAGAGAAGAGTCACTCTGCAATGAGTCCCCCTAGCTCCTTAGTTAGGTCCAAGTTGTAATTTCCTTTGGTTGATTCATTGTTGATTAAACTGCGGAAGATCCAACATTAGCTTTGAATCTCTTAAGGTGACCAAGCCACTTACAGAGACTAACCGGCAGACGACTAGTCTTCACCGGGATAGAATGCTAAGGCAATTAAAACAGTATTCCACCACTGTAATTAGATTCCAGTACAAAGCAGTGAATCGACTGACTCTCGTACAATCAATTCACTCCTATCGAATGAAGAAGCTCTAACAACCTATTCAGATTCTGTCTATCACTAGTTGAAGCAGAAATCAAGAGAAGTTGATCAGGATTCAATTGACTCAATAAACACACTTCAATCGATTAAAATCAATCAATATATCTTCCCAAAAGTTATTACAATCAAGATCTCTAACACATGGAACTAGGGTTCTTCATACCCAAGTGAAAGAAAAGTCTACTCTAGAGAGAGAGAGAGAGAGAGAGAGAGAGGAAAATAGATATCGAAGCAGTCATACTCATAAAGATGGGAATAATTTGCTCTGGGATGTCAATCTTCACTGTCAGGGATGCAATCTGGGCTTCAATGGTAAGAAATCCACTCCCAAATAGCTTCTAGGGTTTGTTCTTTCCACTTTCTCTCTCTAGAACTCTGCTTTTGCTCCAAAAAGTTGAAGCCCCGTCCTTTGGCTCGAATCTGCCTCTTGAACCCGATTATGGGCGAAATACGAGCAAGAATATGGTCGTAATTCTTTCATGCCCGTATTTTGTCCAAAACTCGCGTTTTGATTAAGTTTATGAGGAATAGAATACAATCGTATTTTGGAAAATACCTCCCGTAATTCATGAATTACGATTGTAATCATCGTTGTGCTGCCAGTATTTTGCACTTCCTCAGAAATCTTCAAGGGTTCGGCTCGGCGATAAAAATACGGGCTAGACCAATAGTAATTACGACCGTAATTTGGGACAAGATGGTCGTATTTTACACTTGATCACTCTCCAGGTTCGGAAGTAAAAATATCGGCAGGCATCACCAGAAGCACGATCTTACAGCAGGGGATGACATTATTTTGCTCCTAGAATCGGCAAATGATCTCCAAAGGACCCCGAAACTTATGCCATTGCCTTCCTTTACCTGCTAGGACCTGAAATGTGACAAAATAGCACAACCTAATGTAAAATAGACCAATGAACCATAAATTCGAGCTAAACGACAGGGAAACCAGAGTGCAAACATGTGCAAAAACGTCGATATCAAATTCCCCCACACTTAAGCGTTTGCTTGTCCCCAAGCAAACCAAGTCAGATACAAAGTAAGCTCAAAACATTTTAATCATGCAAAATTTGGGGACATATCATATAGGCACAAAACACGTAAATTATACTAGCTTTTAGACATCAACACATGAACAATCTCAACGACAACCTAGACAACCACCACAGATGACATTCGAGTGCAGCAAAATCGAGTAAAGAAAGAGGCTCTCTTCTGTTCACCAACCAACATAGACTTGACTCAACCACTTATTCAAGACAGCCACCTCATGCATAAAATTCAAGACATCAGAATCAAGACTGAGCAATCTAGGTCCTCATCGGGGTAAAGAATGTAAAGAATATAGGGAAATGAATCGCTCACTCTCGACCAGTGGGGTCAGGACAATTTGATGCGAAAAATGCGCATTCTTATTACCTCAATCCTAACATCGCTTCACCATGATGGAAGCCTGTAATGTTAGAGTGCACATATCGAGTGTCACCACTAACTAGTCAGAAGGTCTTAGACACGAGTTCAGATCATTGGCTAGCGTCTTGGACATGGGGAAAATGCCTTTTAGGTGGTGGAAGAATTCAAAACACAAGGTTCCATAGTTCCAAATCCAAACACAACAACATTCATTCTAACCATTTACTTTCTCTATGCTATTATGTATTAATCAAGTTCTTAGAGTGAAGGACGCCACAACATGTTAGTATTTCTAAGCCAAGCTGCTAAAAAACACTATTTAATGGGCATGATTTAGATTTTTGTGTTGGCTCTATTTTGTTTTCATTTATTTTTTTCTTCTTTTTTTTCTTTTCTTGAGAGAACCATCCCTTTTACACATCTTTTATCCTTGCAATCCCATGCCCAATTTTTAAGAACTACCTCCAACCTTCATCTTATTTCCAGTAGAAAACATGCAAAAACCACTATGTGGAACCTCCAAAAGATGCATAAGGGTGATTTTTCATTGTAAACCAAAAGAAAGAAAATTACACGGCTCAAAGGGGCTAACTAGGGGGTATGACACACCAGGATAGTCAATTTGGTCGTGGGCTAATCCGGGAGAAGCTATGGTGCTAACTCTATAGGGGGTTAGCACTGTAATAACTAGCATCTAAACCGTTTTTTATTTTTTAGATCTAATGGCTACAAATATAGAAAGGAAATAATAGGAATTGAACAATTAAAAAATAAAATTGATTCAATTCTTTCAGTAAATAGGGCGGATTTTGTGGGATTTTCCATTGACGGTTGTTATTCCTGATTTTGGGAATGGGAGTTCCTTTTTAGAAATTTAGAACCACTACTAATCTTCATATCTAACAAGAAAAGAAAACAATACTTAAAAGAAGACGACGACAACTATGCCATGATCAAAACGAGAGCTTAAGGCTGCTGGATTTACTGTTGTGCATTGATGACTCCTTCTCAACCGTCCGAAGCCACATCATGTCGATGCCTATCCCACCTACACTTCCAGAAGCTTTTCGCATCGTCTATAACGACGAGCAGCAGAGGACGCTGACGCAGAAGAGAAAACCCGTCCCGGAAGTGGCTGCTTTTGTCACACGTGGAAAGCAGGACAGGTCCTCCTCTTCGAGCGCGCGCGGGCAGCGTGAGCGGGGAGCAGAAGATAAAGAAAAGCCCCAATGTACCCATTGTCTCAAAATTGGCCATTTACGTGAAACCTATTTTGAACTTATAGGCTATCCTCCCAAAGACAAACAAGGGGATCGAGATCGTCCCAATCGTCGTCGCATGACCGAGTAAGGTCACGATGCAAGACCATCGCGAGGTCACAGCCGAGAGCTTAGAGCCGCCCAATCAGAGATCGACTCCAGTCCCATGTCTGGTTTTACTATGCAACAGCTGGAACAATTGAAAAAAATATTTGGTGCTCAATTCTCTGGTGTCACCGACCCTTCAAGTCACATGGCAGGTCTCTTTTTCTACTGCATCCGAATGGCTAATAGACTCGGGATGCAACGAACACATTGCCATGGACCAGTCTTACTTGATTTCGCATACTTCAGGTTGTCCTAGTCAACCTGTTCGAATACCAAATGGGGCCAGCATTCCAATCAAGAGAATTGGCTCCGTTCAGCTCGATGACAAACTTGTTCTTAGTCGAGTTCTATATGTTCCAGAGTTTCATTTCAATTTGCTATCGGTTAGTCGGTTGTGTCAAGAGCATAATCTGTCTTTGATTTTTTTTGGTGACTTCTATATTATACAGGACTTACACTCCAAGAACGTGATTGGGAAGGGGGAGATTTGTGATGGCTTATATTTCTTGAAGCTTTTTGGATGTCGTGGGACTCGAGCGAATGCAACATCATGAAATTCGGACCTTCCAGGAACTTTGTGGCATGCCCGTTTGGGACACCCGTCGACAGTCGTTTTGTCTCAACTTAGTGAAGTTATATCTTTTGCAGTACCTTGGGATAATGAACTTTGTCACTCTTGTTCCCGTGCTAAGCAAGTTCGGACTCCTTTTCCTGTTAGTGGGATTCGAACAACTTCCTGTTTTGAGATGTTACATTTGGATATTTGGCGCGGTTATCACACGCCTTCTCTCAATGGTGCACATTATTTTTGACCATTGTTGATGATTCCATTCAGGGTGTTTGGGTTTATCTTATCAAGTTCAAGTCGGACGTTGGCCGTTATTTACAGTTTTTCTGCAATCTTGTTCGAACTCAATTTGGAAAGCAGGTGAAGTGTATCCAAGCGGATAATGGTCCGGAGTTCAGCACCATAGTTTTACATGAGTTTTATGAAAAGGAAGGAATTATTCTACAAACTTCCTGTACTGATACACCCCAACGGAACGGTGTTGTGGAGCGGAAGCATATGCATCTTTTGGAGACTGCGCGGGCTCTTTGGTTTCAGGCAGCCTTACCTATCAAATTCTGGGGGGGATGTGTACCCACAGCTGCATATTTAATCAATCGCTTGCCGACCAAAGCTACCGGTCGCACACCCAATGAAGTTTTGTTTGGTACGCCTGCTTCCTACTCTCATCTACGGGTTTTTGGTTGTCTTGTTTACTGCAAAGACACACATGCCCAGCTTGGGAAATTTGATGAACGTGGTCGTGCTTGTGTTTTTCTGGGATATGCGGCTAATCAAAAGGGATACAGGGCATAAGATTTAGTTTCCAGGCGCATGATAACTAGTCGAGATGTTCAATTTCATGAACATGTGTTCCCTTTTGAATCTTCAACAATTCGCCAATTTCATTGGGTGCATGGGACTGTTTTTGAGTGCTTGTCTGATGTCCTCGAAGACGAATTGGTAGTTCCTGGGGACACAACAGTTGGGCCTGTTACCTCAAGCCCGGATCACAGTGATGCACATCCTGGGCTCTCACAGTACATGACCCATGAAGACTCAGCCCGTGAGCCTCAACCTGTCACTTCAGGCCCGTCTCCAGGTAACCAACTCACTAGACAGCCTGGGCCCTCGCAAGTGCAGCCCATGACGACAGCCAGTCAGGCTTCTCCCAGATCAAAGGCAGCGGACCTTCCTCGTGGTTTTTATCCTAGCCTGCATCCTGTCCGTCGCAGCAACCGGGCTCACATTCGGCCCAAATACCTGGAAGATTATTACACGGGAAGTCAAACAAATTTAGTTGGTTACCCTTTGGCTGCACACGTTTCTTTCGATAAATTTTTGGCTAATTATTGTGCATTTCTTGTAGCAATAACCCATCATCCAGAACCCAGAAATTTTTATGAAGCCATCAAGGAAGAGTGTTGGCGTCGTGCGATGCAATCAGAGGTAACTGCCCTTGAAGAAAATGGAACTTGTAGTTTGGTATTCCTTCCCCTGGGCAAACGTGTTGACTCAGAGTGGGTCTACAAAATAAAATTCTATCCTGATGGCTCCATTGAGCGTTACAAGGCTCGTTTGGTTGCAAAAGGTTACACTCAGTTGGAGGGAGTCGATTTTCATGATACCTTTGCACCTGTGGCAAAGCTAGTTACTGTTCGATTACTCTTTGCTGTCGCGGTCAGCAAAGGATGGCACATTCATCAGCTGGATGTAAATAACGCATTTCTCCATGTGGAATTGGATGAGGAGGTTTATATGCGTATTCCGCAAGGTTTTGCTGCGTCGGGTGACACTCGAGTTTGTCGCCTTCATAAGTCAATCTATGGTCTGCGACAGGCATCTCGAAACTGGTATCACAAATTTACTAAAGCACTTTGTGAGCTGCAGTTTCGTCCTTCACCTGCTGACCACTCTTTGTTTATCTACCACCGGGGGAGTATTCACGTGGTAGCTTTGATCTATGTTCATGATGTTATACTTGCGGGTACTAGTTTGGAGTTCATTGCCCACGTCAAGGCTTTTCTCCATTCTCGTTTCACCTTCAAGGATTTGGGCAACTTGCGATATTTTCTGGATTGGAGGTTGCTCGGTCACCTAAGGGATTATACTCAGTCAAACGAAAGTACTTACTTGATATTCTTGCTGATTCTGGAGTCACAGGGTGTCGCCCGAGTGCATTTCCGATGGAGCAGAACCACCATCTTACCCGTCCTACGCCTACCGATCACCCTAATCATGCGGCCTATCGTCGGTTGGTGGGTCGTTTACTGTACTTGACTGTTACCCGCCCGGATATTGCTTATGGAGTAAATATTCTAGGCAGTTTGTTCATGCACTTACACGTGCACACATGGAGGATGCGCAACGCATTTTTCGGTACCTCAAGGGAGCTCCCGGGCAAGGTCTATTTTTGCCTTCCTAGAATTCACTTGAGCTAGTTGTGTTCTGCGATGCAGACTGGGGTGGCTGCCACTCTACTCGTCGGGCTACTACAGGGTATGTTATCACTCTAGGTGGTGTTCCTATATCATGGCGAACTAAGAAGCAACAAGTGGTAGCTCGTTCTTCAGTTGAGGCAGAGTATCGTGCCATGGCGAGTACAGTCAGTGAAGTTCTCTGGCTCCGTTGGCTCCTTCAGGAGCTTGGTGTTCCGCAGCGTGGGCCTACCGATCTATATTGCGACTATCAATCTGCGCTACATATTGCAGCTAATCCCGTCTTTCATGAGCATACCAAGCATGTGGAGATGGATTGTTATTTTGTGCGTGAGCGAGTTACTTCGGGTGATATTCGGCCCTTAAAGATTAGTTCTCACTTCCAGCTTGCTGATATGTTCGCAAAAGGATTGGGGGCCGAGCGTTTTCAATTCCTTCTCTCCAAACTGCGCGTTCGCAACATTCACGCTATAGCTTGCGGGGGAGTAATGGAGTTGGTCCTTGATTCTCTGGACCATAAAGCCCAAGTCAAAGACGACACCACAGTGAAGCCCAAGGAGGGTATATAACCGGTTGTAAGGCCTTCACCCAACCCT